AAGTTAATTAATTTTAATTAAAATAAATTAATTATATTTATTGAGTTTGATTTGAGATGATTAGATTTATTTAGTTATCTCAATTAATGATTAGTAAATATGATTAATTAATTTTAATTAATTTTGATTAATGTTAAGTTAATTATTTAATTAGATTAATTATTTTGATTAATTAATTTTTAATTTTCAATTAACTTTAATCTTGGTCAAAGGTCAAAGGTATCTTTTATTTTATCTCAATTTCACCCATAAGTTTTATGATTAAGTAATTCAGTCCCAAAGTTTCAAATCTTTTTAAATCAGTCCTTCATATTTTCTAATTTAATCAAATTAGTCCCCTTAATTTTATTTGTGCTTAGGATACATGCTTGTCTTTGATTTTGTCCATTTTAGTCCAAAAATTTTTAAAAATGTTTCAATTTGGCTTATCCTTCTTTCAAACTTACCTATTAAGACTCAAACATAAACACAACGAGTAAGTTGAATCAAAATCCTAATTTTAAAGTATGCAACCGTGTTTAAACGGAGGATTGTGAGGTGCGCGTATACCCTTCCTCACTCCTAACTGAACCCTCGAATCCCGATATCTACGTAGACTCATTTTAGGTGACTTGTCCCACCTTATAATTTGGATGAGTGGCGACTCCCTTTTCTTTTTTATATTTTTCACACTTAATCCCTTTTAAGTGGTTGTCAACAGATTGGCGACTCCACTGGGGATCGAACCCAGAATCTCTGGTTTCCATATTCTGGGTTCACGAGGGTCTAGCTAATACTTTAACCTTGGGGAATTTTCAACCTTTGATTTTTTTTTGTGTTTGTTGAGTCTTTATGGATCTTTGTTATTTATTGTATGTGCCTGTCGTGTGTTGCTTGTTGTTTGTTTGCTCAAAGTTTTAGTGGTTACTTTGATTGTTTTGCCTTTGAGTAGTTATCTTGCTACATCTTGACATGCATCATCCCTTGCTAATGTATTCATGCATCATATCATCTCACATGCTCATCCATCATTGATATAACATGCTTATTCATCATGCATCATGCCTATATGCCTACTTGTTTGTGTGTGGATATACTCATTTTTTACACTTGGCTATGGAGTACTCAGTAAGTCTCTTCCCTTTTATGCGATTATTTATATCTTGTTGCATGCTTTTTTATTTTTTAAAGTAGACAAATATTTTTTTTTTGTATTTTAACCTTATCATTATTTATTTACTTTAAGAACTTATTTGTAAAACATGAATGATATTATTTGGATATTTTTCTATGGTAGTTTATTAAAATAAATATGAAGGATATTTTTTCTATAAATAAACATGAATGATCTGAATTTTTCGGTAAATTTTTTAAAAATTTAGTCGATAACGTATGTTGAATGAACACATGTAAAAGAATTAGATTACGAGAAAATTATCAAAGATTGGGTTTCCTTATTTCTATTCAACAACATACGAATAGTTTTGTGATTTTGTCTAAATGGTTGTTGAATCCTTGCTTCAAAATAAAATGAATATTTATTGGTACCATTTGAAGAAGTTTTTAACATAGTGGGAAAACCTTTAATGGTATAAATTTCATAATAAAATAGTAATAAGATAAAAAATAAAAATAAAAGATAAACAACAGAGAGGAGAAGGCATAATATTACAAAGTGTGAAATAATATCAAAACATCATGATGTATCAAAAGCCCTGATCCAATGTACAAGCCTTTATAGCCTTTGTATGTTTATTTATTTTTTCTTGTTCTTATTTTACATATAATCAATCTTATTTATATGGAGGGGATATGTAATATAAGAAAATAATAATTAATTGAAAATCTCATATTAATAAGAATATATTAATATCAAAATTTTAAAATAAATTGATTTCTTCTTAGTGGATTAATCTTTATAATAATATGATATTTTTTTCTTTTACAACCAAATCAATCATTACATAATTTAATCCTTATTTTCTCCTTTTTACGAAAGAATCAATGATTTTTATGATTTGATTATCTTTACTATGTAACTTATTAGTAGAGTTTAGTCCCAAACCTCAATCTATTATTCCTTTTTTTTTATATGAGTTTGTCTATTATGTACTTTTAGAATACAAGACAATAAATAATTATTAGTTAATAATTGTCATTTTTTTAAAAATGTGAAATTTTAAATTAAAAAAATAAAATTTAATTTCAATTTCAAAATAAACAAATAAAAAACTAACACATTACATTTGAAATTAAAATAAAAAGTAACTTTGTTATTTTCAAGATAAGAAGTAACA